ATTTTCTCAAGTCTGGTCCATGTCAACGTCACAAAAGTTTCTTAATAATTAAAGGAAGTATCCAGAAGTTTCCAGAATTTTCTAAAGGCATGGAGAAGCTTCCAGAAGTTTCCAGAAGAAGCATCTGGAAGCATCCAGAAGCATCCAGAAGTATCCAGAAACATTCAGAAGCATCCAGACGCATCCAGAAGCTTCCAGAAGCAATAAAAAGAAGCATCTAGAATATTCCAGAATAGGTTCACACAGGTTCATTTTACTATATAAGAGACATGTAAACCAAAATATAATTCAGTTAGTATATGGAAGTCAATCAGTCAGTATTATCCAGACAGTTTATTGAAATGAGTTTTATCAAAGTGTTTTATCGAAGAACATCAATACAAGAAGTGAAATACAACAAGTGTTTCATTACATCAATACAGTCCACATCCAACCAAGACGTTGCATTCCACAGAGCATTATTGTATCATCACAAGGTAAATGTAACATGGTACACCTTGAGAAGCGTGATTATTGATTTTTATTATTTTTATGACTTCAAGTGCAAAAACGCCTCCCGATAGTGTTTGATTGGAACTAAGAAAGAAAATTATTGGTGATTACGTAAGTGGAATGTCACAAAAAAGTATTTGTGATAAATATTGCATGAAAAAATGGACCGTATCAAGACGGTATAAAGACTAGTTCCAAATACCGTTCTACGGGGAAGTTGGCAGCAGATAACAAAGGTAGAAGACCACATTTTACCACTTCTAGAGAGGACTCTATGATTGTCAGATTCGTCAAGAAAGATCCTGGTCAAGGAAGGATCTTGGTCAACATTTTGTGGAGTTGCACTTGTTTTGTCCAGAAAGAAATCAACTTTTTTAATACTTTTGATTTATTAATTTTCATGTACAAATAATGAACTTTGTGATGAATAAAACTTGAAAAATGTTGTCTCTAAACAGTTACCTAGTTATTTCTCTAAATTGAAAAAAAGCAGCACTTTTATATAAAGAAACTAAATTAGCATTATTTGGTTTCACTTGTTTTGTCCGATACTGTATATACATAAATATATTATATATATATAAACAAATATATTATATATATATTTTTTTGACATCTTCGCTTCCAACAAGGCTGCAAGCAACCACTATTTAGTGGTGGAAGTTACTGAAAGAGAAAAGATGAAAATTGTAGAGCAAGATAACGATTGACAGACGACTTAAAAGATTGCAAACTATATGAATCAGGAAAGCAAGATGAAGGAAGCAAATTCCAAAGAACTGATGTTCGAGGAAAAAAACTAGACAAATAAGAGTTTTTGGAGCACTTAGGAACAGTAACAGAAAAAAGATGAGACTTAATTGAATGACGAGTAACACGAGAATGAATTTTAGTAGATGGCACAAGTGACGCTAGCTCTTTAGAGCAGTGCCCATTATAGTATTTTTAGAAAGAGAAAGAGAAGCAACATTACGGCGATGTGACAAAGGTTGAAGGTTGGCTGCAGAAGCAGGTCCAATTATGTTTACAATGCGTTTTTGCACCTTGTCTAAAAGAGAAAGGGCATCATTAGAAGATCCGCCCCAGATATGGCAACAGTATTCCATACAAGGCCAGATTTGCGATTTATAGAGATAGAGAATAGAATCCAGAGTAAGAAAGTGTCAAGCTCGATAAAGAGATGCAAATATATATATATATATATATATATATATATATATATATATATATATTATATATATATTATATATATATATATATATATATATATATATATTTTATATATATATATATATATATATATATATATATATATATATATATATATATATATAATATATTTGCATCTCTTTATCGAGCTCTATAAAGAGATGCAAATATATTATATATATATAACCATGTATGAATATATATTTGCATCTCTTTATATATACATACATGGTTATATATATCACATGGTTATATATATATAACTTACATATGTAAAAACCTGAACAAAGAATGTAAACTTTTTTTTTAATTTATTAATTCTTTGCTTTAAAGTTATAACATAAGCTAAACATTGTGAAAAAAAATAGAGAATGAAAACTAACTTCTGTTTTATTCTTCCCACACAAAAGCAATGATAGAACGTATAAAAACTCAACTTTATGCATAACCTGTGCAAAATAATAGTACAAATATAATATTTATATTATTAAATTAAATTTAAACTTAATCTGATTTTAATAAATGAATAATTGAAATAACAGTCAAATAATATTTACTTCATTTAAATCTTGGACGGATAAAGTAACAGTTTCATTATTAACTCTATAACTTTTAACTGAAATAAAAGTATGGATAAATCATTAAATAAAATATTTATTTGAGATGCTAAAATATAAAATTTAAATAAATTATAAACTATTAAACACCAAAAAAATTAACATATTTATTGATTTGGGTAGTATTAGTATCTCTTGATTGGTGCCGTGAACCATGAAACTAAAGTTTGATAGAAAGGGCGTTTTTATTAAAATATTTTTTAATAAAGCTGTTCAATAAAAAGTCAGAATTGAAAAGAGAAAATATTTCTTATATAAGCAAAAATTTTGTGAAAATAAACAAAACTGCATCTTCTACTTCATAAAATCATTCTACTTCTTCTATATCAGATCTGACAGCTTTAAACTATTGACAATATTACTAGATGTTCTTTAAACAATATTACTAGATGTTCTTTAAAGGTAAACACTCAAAAAATTGTAGCGAGGAAAATGCTGGACAAAAAAAGCATTATATTCTCCTAACTTTCATTTCTGCAATTTACTATCCATCTGCAATTTACTATCCATCTGCAATTTACTATTCATCTGATCCGGCCCAAATTATTTAATACAACTTTTAATCTTACTAATTCTTAAGACTAATAAATCACCAGTTGATTTACAAAGTAGCAGAAAATTAAATTTTTAATATTTCTACACACTAACACATCAAATGCCAAAAAATTACCAGGACAATGCAAATCTATTTGAGCTCCCAAACAGGTGATGGAATATTTTACTATTAAAAAAACTTGAAACTTTCAGAAAAAAGTTTTTCAACTATTCATTTTTTATAGCATTAGCAAAATTCTTCTACTTATTTGATAATCTGCCACCGTCCCAAGTCATTGTTACCTTAACATTGCAAGATGCCTTTTCATACCAAGTCATTGTTGCCTTTATATCCATTTTTATATCCATTATTTACATACATATAGAACATTAATCTCAACTACCTTAATATAACATTTACAAAATAAACAAAACTTTTTATAAACATTTTAATATTAAAATGTTAAGTTTATAAAAATATAAATATGTTTATAACATTAAAAATATAAATATGATTATAATATTTAAAAATGAAGTTAAAAAACAAGTAGATGCTCACAAAATGGCTTACTACACATTCTAACCATTCTTGGAATGAATTGCTTATTAGCGAGCAGAATTTCTAAAAATAAAATTATATTACTATGTACATGCATTAACTTACATATTAGGGTGTGTGCGTGTAACATTTATGTAAGCATATATATCTAATGTATGTATGTATGTATGTATGTATGTATGTATGTATGTATGTATGTATGTATGTATGTATGTATGTATGTATGTATGTATGTATGTATGTATGTATGTATGTATGTTTGTTTGTATGTATGTATGTATGCATGTATGTATCAAGCCCTGTCGACTCTTTCGTTTTTACATACTTAAGAGTGTAATTGTACGCGCAATGCATTATGGGATGTCCTAATAGTATAGAATTATATTCACAACAACAAACTTGGCTGAAACTCTGCAAAGTTTTCTGTTTTATATTGGGTTATTCTTTAATAAATAATACTCTTTGTAATTCAGAAATACCTTCATAGTGTGCTGCAACTAACTGTGCAAATACGAGTGGAATTTGTGCATCAATCATTTGAAAGTTCACTTTTTATTTAACAAACATGCAGTTCTATCCGTTATGCACCAAAACTCTTGGAGCATTTTTTGAATTAATTATTACTGTCAACTGTTATAATGACTTCTTATTGACCAACCAATTTGTTAATAAAAATAATACTCTTTTTAATCTAATGAATTCAAAGAAGTTCATGCTGATAAACCTGCTCTATGTGATGTAACAACAAAGAAAAATAACATGCTACTGAATTTTTTGTTGTCATTATAAACTAGCAGCTTTAAAAACAATTGTCTTAAAAGGATCTTAAACTCATGTTGTGTTCATATTAAAGATAATGTTAAAAAAAAGGTTTAAACCAAGTTTTTTTGATTAAAAATAAATAATGAATGCATACCCAGAAAAACTAATGTTGTTTTAGCCGAAGCTCGCCTTTATTTTTTTTCAATAACTCGGAGTCTTCAAATTATACATTGCAACCTACAGACTTTAGCGATTCCTTTAAAGCGCGTTTAATTCATAAAAGTTTTAGTATTTGCCGTCACAGTAGATTTTTAACAAATGAAAAGTGTAATTACACAAAGCTGCGTTTTTCTACTTTAATTCAAAAAGTACAATGTAGTATTTTTTTAACATACGGCAAAACAAATTTATTTGTATTATTTTTCCAAACATCGCAAAAAAAATTTCGTAAAAAGTAAAAACAATAAATTATTCTTATTTTATTGGAGCAACTAATTTTTTAAAGATATCTTTAATAATTTTTAGATTTATATTTCTTACTTATATTTCTTTTGTTTTTAAATTAAAACAAATATTAAAGCTTTACTTACCAATCTCATGATTTTCATACAAGTATTTTACATTATATAGAACATTTTATATACGGTCTCTCGTTTTTGTGCAAGAGAGCGCAGTATTATATATTCTGATTTTTACTTATTTTTATTTAAACAATGGAACTATTTTCTAATTTCTCTGGTTATTTTTATGCTATGACAATTTTTTGATTTCCCATCAAAAAAAAGTATTTATTAACAATTACTTTCATAAACTGACAGTATTAATTAGAGATATTTGATGAATTGTTAACTTTTTTTATTATAAAAATTTTTTGATTACGCTGATTTAAGTTAAACTGCTAAAATTGCTGAATTGGATATAGATAAAAAGGAAATATCATTTTATTTTACATTTGATTTTTGATAATGAAATTTTTAAAATGTCAGCAACTCCATACCAATTAGAACCTGTACAAAAGTACAGGAATAAGACAAAAAGTACAGGAATAAGACAAAAGTACAGGAATAAGGATAAGAAAAGTACAGGAATAGACTAAACAATACAGTTGACAGTAATATCAGATATGAAAATTTGTGAAAGGATATGTGAGATCCTGATTTTGCATTAAAAGTACAATTAATAGCAACACAAGTCGGCATTATAAATTTTGATTATAAGTTTACTGTTCAATATTTTATAACCATCAAATTAAAAACATGAAGTTCGTATATTTTCGCCCATTTTATACAACTAATATTAAACAAAAATACTGACAAATTATTATTAAATAACGCAATAATTAACACATAAATTAATGGCAATAATTCAAGATAGATGGTAATTTAAATTGTTAAAATGTCATAACGCGCATTAAAAAACATATTATATTTGGTATTTCCCAAATTGTGTCATAGTTTTGCATTTGTCTCTTAACATTAAAAATTAAAATTTTTTAATGTTAATAGAAAAAAAACACAATTAACAATTACAAATTTTCAAATTTTCTCTTCCAATTCTCATTTATTCAAAGAAAAGTTACTATTAAACTTATATCTAAAAAAACTTATCTAAAAAAAGAACGAGTGACGCAAAAAAATATATATATTCTATACAACTCTTATTTATTAAAAGTTTAATTACGCGAAACTTTTCCTTCTCTTTTGTTCTACTTTTTCATAAAAAGAGCGCGCGATGAAATAAAAACTTTTCTTTTTTAACATAAAATTATACTTTGAGATAAAATTAAATTAGAAATAAATCAACAATGAGCAAAGCATCTAACAGATTAATCTGGGACTATTTTGATATTAATCAAAATAATAAACATAAACAACATTACCAACAACAATTATCAAATAAACAACACAATCTCGCATAATTTTAGGGGCATTTTATTTTTATTGCTTAGTCATTCTAAATAATAAGTAAATTTAGTTCAAGTTAATATTTCAATATTTACAGTTGCAATATAATAAAGAAATGATGTTTAATGTTGAACTTTTTATTTATTTATTTTTACCTACATTTTTTATAAAAAACTTTAGAACCCCCGTCATTAAAATAATTTGTTTTAAATATATTTCGACAATAAAAACTAATTTTTTTTGTTTGACTGTCTGAACTTCATGCAAAGCAAATTGAAACGAAATATCGTCTAACCAAATAAAAAAGCTGTTACTAATACGGGTAATTAATGTAAAACAATTTTTTTTAGAGTCTTGATTGAGATAATAAATATTCATAATTTAGAAACATTAAATATATGGCGCAATAACAATTTATAGCAACGAACCAGCATAAAATATTTGAGGTTTTTAATATCTTTTTAAATGTTAAAAATAGAAAAAAAAAACTAAACAAATCAAAAAATTTGGAATAAAAATAAAAATATTTCCAGAGTTTCATTTGTTAAAAGTGTACCGTGACGTCAAATACTAAAACTTTTATGAATTAAACACGCTTCAAAGGAATTGCCAAAGTGTGTAATTATTAAATAATGCCTTTACATTTTTCTTTAACAATCTGTTTTGATTTTATGAGTTAATGTGTGTGTGTATATAAATACATACATACATTATGAATATATGTATAAATGTATGTATAAATGTAAATACATACATTTATACATACATACATATATATATATATATATATATATATATATATATATATATATATATATATATATATATATATATATATATATATATATATACATATATAATAAAATGGTGAAGATTAATTCTATGAATAGTTTACAAAATGAATTAAAAGCAATCAATTACTGAGAGCATTTGGGTATTGAAAACAACTTATTTATTTGTTTTTAAATGTTATACTACCAGGTTTGTATGTATGTATGTATGTATGTATGTATGTATGTATGTATGTATGTATGTATGTATGTATGTATGTATGTATGTATGTATGTATGTATGTATGTATGTATGTATGTATGTATGTATATATGTATGTTAGGGTGTTCCAAAAAAATGACTTTTTTGAATTTCAACTAACATTGCTTTTCATAAGGTGCTCAAACCTTGATATTACTAATAAATTTTTTTTTTCATTATTAGACCACTCCATGACTTCCCTCAAGGTCCTAAGGTCATTTTTTGCTCGCTTTTTACTCTTATTTCGGACAAACTGAGGGGGTGTTATGTTGCAAATGTTTTTATTTTTTTATTTTTTTTAGCTTAATTCAATTGTTAAAGGAAATATAAATGCAATGTTAAGCCTAATTTTTTTTTTCTAATTTTTTTCATTATTTGAGCAATGAAGATCAGAAAATTCAAAAAAACAAAACAAAAAAAAAAACATTTTAAAGATTTTTGGGACTATTTTTATTCTGTTTGCTAAAGAAACTTTACATATTGAAATATTTTAAACTTATATTTATAATGTTTCTGAAGTAATTTTTGATAACTTATAAATTTATTTTTAAGTAAAAGTGTTCTTTGCATAATCAGCTTTTTTTTTAATTCTTCTTCCGCTCTTATATTTGTTTGATACAAGGAAGGTATTTTGTCTTTTTTCCTCACTGTGTGATTTATTGATTAATTCCTATTTATAAATAATAAAAAATTGTAAGTTTGTAAACAAATTTGCAATTTTTAACATAAAGCTAAGCTAAGTACATAAACTGTACATAAATAATATATACCTGAACTAGTTTTTTAGCCCTCTCATTGCAGTCATTTACTACCTCAAGATTATTCACAAATTGTTTAAATTTTAGGAAATAGTCATTTAGATCCCATGTCTCAATCGGAGTCTTAAGCCATTGTACCTCAGCATTTGCATAGTTTAGCATATAAAAAATTAACCAACTCTGGTCAGTTATAAGTGGGGTCAGACTAGGGGAGTATCATCACTATACACAAGGGAGTTTAATAAATTCAAATCAACTTTTTGTTTTTCTTTGGCATAAGTTGTAGGCCTTGGGGTAGAGTACAGCTTCTTGGCAATGTCACTCCACTCTTGTACATTTTTGTCAGCAAGAAACATAACAACAATAAATGGGTCTATGTACCAGGTGTGTCTCTTCAGAGATTCAATAACAGGATTTGCCTGGTCAAGATTGAATTTTGAGTATATCATCATTTGCCAAAGAGCTTTCATATCCTAAAATATTTTAGACTATGAAATATTTTCATATAAAAAAAGTAATAAAATTTTAAACTAAGTTGATTTAAAAACTTGGAAAACATAAAAAATGGCACCTGATATGGAGCAATGGCTGGGATTTCAGCTCTTATAAACTACTCAGTGTAAAATACAGCTGTGAAAAATACCATATCGTTTACTTCTTTCCTCTCAAAATCTGTCAAGCTAGGAATGTTGTCTAGAAGGAGATACATTTTCAGAAAGTATATTCCCTTTGACATAAATCTGGCATGATGAACAGGCCCAGGGTTTCTTATTCTGTACTGTTCACCTCCAGATAAAACCATTGTTGTTAACTCTGCTAACTCCAGATAATCACACCTACATCCATCCTAAATAAAACTGCTCATTTAATAACTTTATTTTATTAAATAAGGTACTAAAATATTTAGTAAATTCAGAATTTTAAATACCTTTTTCATTGTTTTCATCCTGATAATATTTTGAGAAAAAGATAAGGCTTCCTTGATTTGTTTCTGTAGCCACCTTTCAGAAATATCTTCAATTTTTACTTTTTTTAGCACAATGGCATTTTGATTTATTGAGTTCCAAACTTCTTTGAGTTTCTTAAACAAAGGATTATCTGGACCATTTGTTTTACTGCTTGGACAAATGTTCCAGCAGTGAATAATATGCCTCTCATAGATGTGATGTCTACAAGCTGAGAAGTAGAGGTCTGTCAAGTTCTGCGGCTAACCTAATGCACACACCTTTTTTGTTACCAGTATTTACATAAGTGGTATCAAAAACGCATCCTTGCAATTTATCAGAAATACAAAATTGATGAAGAAGTTGATTGCATTTTTCTGTGTTTCTCCAGTGCAAGAGTTTAAATGAGGAATACCAAGAAGCTCTGTCTGCCCATCGATCCTGATGGAAACAGCAATTCTAGAGTGTTTATTTACATTTTTTTTTTTTTTTTCATGAATAGATCACTCCATGACTTCGCTCAATGGGTCCAAAGGTCATTTTTTGCCCACACTTCGGACTAATTGAGGGGAGTGTCACCATTATCCAAATTAATTTTTATTTCTTTTTTTTGTTGTTTTATCTTTTTGAAGAAAATAAAAATAGAATGTTAGGCTTAATTTTTTTTTTTATAACTTAAACAATTTCAAGATCAAAAAATTTAAAAAAAGTTATTTAAAGAATTTTAAAGCTTTTTTGCACTATATTAGTGTTCTGCTTGTTAACAAGATACTTTATATATTAAAATATTTATATTTACATAATAAAATCATATTTATGATTAGTTTCTGAAGTAATTAGTTGTCTAATATAGTTGTTTATAAATTTATTTTGTAAACAAAGAATTCTTTACGTAAACAGTTTTTTTTTTTAACTGTTTGTTTACTCTTATAGGAAGGTATTTTGTCTTTTATCCTCATAGTGCGATTTATTGATCAACTCCTATTAAAGAATATTTAAAAGTAATGAGCTTGTGAAATAAAATGAGACTTTTAAAATAAACAGTAAAGATTAAACATAAAAAATAGATACTTGAACTAGTTTTATAGCACTCTCACTACAGTCATTAACTAATTCAAGATTATTCACAAATTTTTTTGAATTCTAGGTAAAAGTCATTTAGATCCCATGTCTCAGATGGAGCCTTAAGCCACTGTACTTCAGCATTTGCATGGTTTAAAATATGAAAAATTAACCAACTCTGGTCAGTTAGAAGCAGGGTCAAATTTGGGGGATTATTATCATTAAACATAAGGGAGTTCAGTATACTTAAATTAACTTGATGTCTCTCTATGGCATAAGTTGTAGATCTTGAGGAGTACAACTTCTTGACAATGTCACCCAGTTTATGAACATTTTTGTCAACAAGAGACATAACTAAAATAATTGGGTCTATGTATCAGGTGTGTCTCTTGAGAGACTCTATAACAGGTTTTGCTTGGACAGATTTGATTTTTGAGTATCTCACCATTTGCCACCAAGAGCTTACATATCCTAAAGATTTTTAGACTATTAAATATTACACAAAATTTTCAAAGAAAAAAAAGTAATAAAAACCAAAAAGATTAAAAACGTTTAAAACATAGAAATATAATATGGAGCAACAGCCAGAATTTCAGCCTTTATAAACCACTCATTGTAAAATACAGCTGTGAAAAATGCCATATCATTTATTTATTTCTTCTTGAAATCTGTCAAGCTAGAAATGTTGTCTAGAAAGAGATACATTTTCAGAAAGTATATTCCTTTTGCCATAAAACTGGCATGGTGTACAGGCCCAGGTTTTTCTTAGCCTGTAATGTTCATCACCAGATAAAACTATTGCTGTCAATTCAATTAACTCTAGATAATCAGACCTACATCCATCCAAATAAGACTATTTATTTAGAGACAAAACAGTAGCTTACTTAACTTAATTTATTACAGATATTCAATTTATTCAAAACTTTAAATACTTTTTTCATTGTTTTCATTCTGATAATATTTTGAGAAAAAGATAAGGCTTCCTTAAACTGTACCTGCAGCCAGCTATCAGAAATATCTTTAATTTTTATTTTGTTTAACACAATGGAATTTTGATCAATTGAGTTCCATACTTTAAGCTGGAATTTTGACCATTGAGTTCCATTCTTTAAGCTTCTTAAACAATGGATTATCTGGGCCAATTGTTCTACTACTTGGATAAATGTTCCAACAGTGAGTATTATACCTTTCATAGATGTGATGTCTACATGCTAGCAGAAGTAGAGGTCTATCAAGCTCTGCAGCTAATCTAATGCACACACCCTTTTTATTACCAGTATTTATAGAAGTTGTATCAAAAATGCATTCTTGTAATTTATCTAAAATATTAAATTGATGAAAAAGTTTTATGATTGTATTCTTCTGTGTTTCTCTGGTACAAGAGTTCAAATGAGGAATCCCAAGAAGCTCACTCTGGAGAATAATTGGTGATGTAGATCAGTAATGTGTTTTTTAATCTTTTCTCCTTCTTTAGTTACAACTTCCTCTGCAACTCTAAACGCAGTTGAAGAAGATATTGCAAAATTAGTAACATCACCTCCTGAATTAGCAATAACACTTGCCACTATTGCAGTGTGTTGCCTAATTGAAACTCCCTCACCTATTGCGGTGAGAGCTGGTTTTTTTTTAAATATTTTTTGGTAACAAAACAACAGAGGTAGATTTTTAGATCCTTTTTTAATATCTGCTACATATTCACAGTCAGAATTATTATCACTACTTGAAGAGTCTAAACCTTATAGATTGCTACCATTGTTTAGTTTAATTTCCATGTTTAACATGGAACACAACTTTTTGTGGTCCTGTCTTTCATAATATCTTCAATAAGTTCTTCTTTTTTTTACTAATCCAAAAGAATTTTAACATTTCTTCAAAAAATTCTTCATTCCTTTTTGTATCTGTTGGCCCGTCCCTTTTGTTATTCTTCTTTAACTTGTAATAGTTGTTCACCATTTTATCAATCTTCTTTCTTTAAAATGCAAAATTTATTCAATATTTATAATAAAGATAAAAATAAATTTGTCGATAAATTTTGAATTCAGAATTTACCTGATATTTTCAAAGGTTATGATAGGTAATCCTGCAAGATTCCATGATCTTACCAATTTAGACATTACATAATAGTCAGCTTGTGGAGGGCATCTGAGCTCAAATGAATTAATTTTGAAATGACACCTAAACTGTTTTCTTTACTTTGGGATTCAAGTTTCTTAGATATAGGTAGTATTGCAAAACCTCAATACCAGTAGGAAGTTTAGAACATGAAAGATTTTCTCTAACTTTCTTTACCAGAAATACTTCAGCCTTATTTTGACTAAGCTTCAACTACTTTTTTGGTGGCATTTTACTATTAAGTAACTTTTTTAAAGGTAATTAGTTACTGAAAAGATAAATGATAACCAAAATATAAAATAAGATAAAAATCAAATTGCATACACAAGGTAAAATATAATTGTTCACAATAAGAAACAAATATATGTGTATTCAAAATATAACAGAAAACACATTAAAATTGTAAAATCAATTTTGATATAATATAATATTTACATTTTTGGATTCCAAAAATGTAAATATTCAAATCATCTGCCTATGTCCGTGAAAAAAAATCAATTTTGAAATTTTCCCTTATTACACATTTATGTGAAATGACAGCATTTCTATTTTTTGCATTTTTACAGCTTTTATTAAATGTAAAAAACTTCTAACAAAGATAAAATATAGATTTTTGCAATATAATTTTTTTAATTTTAAATTGACAAATTTCAGGAAAGGGCACTTTTTCAAAGAAACTAAATCTGTGAAGGTTGCATTTTTGAGTCTCTTAAGAAAAAAACAAAAAAATGCCCAATTCAGCTACGAATCATGATAAAAACAGGAAAATTGTTTGCCTCCTGTGTCTCAAAAAGGCAAACAGACAGCTCATAACGTTTTTGTGACATGAAATTGGCTAACATCCTGTGCGGTCTGCAGGCTCATTCATCCTCTCATCCATGTACATGGTGCACAGCGGAAAGTTCTAATCTTGCGAATTATGGTACTCCAAGAACTTTTGGCTCTTTGAAGCAGTCATTCTATGCGCTCTCTGCAGCAGGTTCAAATGCCAAAAATGAAAAGAAATTCGGAAACGTGGTTCATGAGCCTGTTCTTTCACTCGAAGATTCTGCATTGGTAATTGATCTAATACCTCCAATGGTCTTGCATCTACTTCTTGGAGTGGTCAATCATCTTTTTAAGATTCTGAAAGATTCATGGACAAAGGCAGATGAATGGCTTCAAGCATTGCATATACAACATCAACCCTTTCATGGTGGACAATTGGAAGGAAATTCCTGCAATAAGTTGCTGAAGAACTTGGATCTTTTGCAAACATTGGCTGAAAAAGACAATGGTTTTCAAGTTTTTCCCATCATTGAAACTTTTCGAAAATTTGCAAATGTTGCATCATCCTGTTTTGGCAACAAGTTGCACAGTCAGTTTGAAGAAAAAATTGATGAGTTTCGAGCTTCTTTCCTTGCATTGCCAATTGGAACTGTCACATCAAAAACACATGCTGTGTTTTTCCATAAAAAGGAATTTATCCTGAGGAAAAAGATGCCACTTGGAATTTATAGCGAACAAACAACAGAAGCAATGCACCATTGCTTTAGTACAAATTGGGCAAGGTACAAACGCCTGATCAGTCATCCAGAATATGGAAAAAGGCTTGTGATGTGCCTTGTTGATTTTAACAGCAAGAATCGTTAAAGAAAACACTGAGCACAAAATAAATAGAATTGGAGATTTATGAATAAATTATGTTGACCTTACATTAGAAATCTTTATGTGAGAACAGAATGTATCTTTTTATCTCTTTAGAATAATGTTTTTTTATTTATTGCATGTATTTTTGTTTAAAGAATGCTGTAAAAATACAAAAAATAGAAATGCTGTCATTTTACATATATGTGTAATAAAGGAAAATTTCAAAATTGATTTTCTTTCACGGACCTAAGCAGATGATTTGAATGTTTACATTTTTGGAATTCCATGGTCATAAGCTTTCACAGGAATGTTGTGGTTTTCTAGGGTGCGGACTGGACAGTTATCTCCTATTTTTGCTAAGAGTGATATATATATATGTCGATATAACAGTGCCTCATAAATGACACAATCTAGCACTACATAAAAAAATAATTAATATTGTGCTAATAATAATTTTCAATTAATAGTTTAAACCTAACAATAAAATTATTAAGTTTGAACTATTAATTGAAAAGCTTTTAAATTAAATTATTTAAGTTTGAAATTTTAATTAAGACACTTCTAAATTGAAAAATATATATTATAGGGTGTCTGCCAGGTCAGGGAAAAGTCAATGAACTCAGATGTCTGCAAAAAAATCTGGGAATAATCAAGGAAATTAAAAGGGCTCAAATTTATGTAGATATCTCAAAAATTATAATTTATTAAGTTCTAATTTTTTGTATTTTTATTTTTTTTTATGTAGATAAATGTCCTGAGATAAAAATTTTTGTTGAAAATTTCTCTATTTTAAAGCATCGTTAGATTTTTCAAAACACCCAATTAATAATCGAATTTCTGATATTAAGAACAAAAAGTTTGTTGTTTTAAAAGTTTATATTCTAAATTTTTTTTATCTCAGGACATAAAGCTTATTTTAATGAATCTCTGTACAAAATTTAAAGTCAATTGGACAATTACAGCTCTGCAATCTTTGCCAGAAAATTAGAAGAATAAAACAGAGAAAAAAGCATATAAAATTAAAAATATTGAATATACAAACTTATTAAAATCCCCCTTTTTTATATACTGCTCTTCTTAATTTTTGTTTTTTTTATCAAACCATTTCCTAGTTGCTTTAAGATTTTTTCTTTGTTTTTTAATTTTTTTTTTTATTACTAACCTTAACTAGCGGTTGCTATGAGCGTTGCTAGGGGAAACAAAATTAGCCTACTAATATAAATCACTTTTAATAGTTCTAAATTTTTTTTCTCATACGAAGATCTATATATTTTTAGACTCTATATCAGTTACTGTTTAAAACAATGCCACTTTTGAAAAATCGTTTTTTTCTAACTTTTTTAGCAGTCTACCACCTTAAGCATAGGTTGTATTATTGTTTATATTTCTGCATTTGAAGAGCATTTTTCCAAATAAAATTTAAGTCTATTTTTTCTGAAGTTAAGTTTGGGTAACTTTAAATTAAATCAGGGAAAACAGGTAGTGGATAATATCAAAGAAATATCAGAGAAAAATCAGGGAAATAAACCTTAAAATATTGGCAGACACCCTGTATTAGTTTTATGCTTTATTTTCCTGGTTTATCCTTTATTTATTTTATCATTCGTTAAGTTTGTTTCTCTTTTCAGTTTTATCTATTTTTAATTTTCTGTTTAAATTAGTTTGGTTTTTTCAGCTCGATTTTTAAAACAAGCATATTATCAATATACGCAAAAAACCATCGCCAAGTTGTCAAAAAAAAAAAGTATGCGTGATCATGTAAGGTGTGCAACTGTACGTATCTCCTGCGAAGGCTTGTGTGTGTGTGTGTGTGTGTGTGTGTGTGTGTGTGTGTGTGTGTGTGTGTGTGTGTGTGTGTATATATATATATATATATATATATATATATATATATATATATATATATATATATATATATATATATAAGCATTTTAGTCACAAAACTGAATACTAACCTTGATTATTTTCACATAACATTTTCTCATGTGATCGCTCATTATCTTCTTTATCTTGCTGTAATACTAAGAAGAACAAATTTTACTAAATTTGAAAAAATCAATTTATATTGGATGTATCTGTGTTGATAAAAATATAAACAAGCAAATAAAATTCATGTACTAAGGAAAATGTATATATGTAAAATAAAAAATTTTTGTTTTTAAATTGTAAAAAAACTTAATTTTCTAGCCTAATATTTTTGAATAAATGTACACAGAGCTTAGATAATTTCTAAACAATTGTTTCAGAAATATAGCTAAATGCTCTATAGAAACTATTTTTAACTAAAAAACAATTCAAACATGGAAAAAACACTAACAGTAAAACATTTAAAAAATAGACTGTATGATAGTTGATATTTTTATTAGAAATCAAATCAAATATCTGTAATGTTATTTTCATTAATGTTATTTCACTATTAAAATCATAAAATAATTAAAATTATTTACCAAAATACAAGTTAAGTTGTATCTTGAAATAACTCTGAACTAAATGTTTGAACTAATAACCACAGCTTACTTAGTTCAACTAGTCACTTTAGAAAACTTTATGTTTTAAATTGTGCAAATTAAAAACTTTTATATCAAAATTGATGCACTTGGCTAAAAAAAAAGGTGTTACAATAATAACATTAATACTAATATTTAATTTTAGACCAATCACTAATATGGTCTAGAGGTACTGTTTTCAATTAAAACTAATGAATATAAAGCACATGGGATAACAAACAAAATAATTAAATCAATTACTAAAAATTCATTACTAAAAAATTTAAAACATCAACACAAGTTTGATTTTTCAAATATCCTATATGCCAGAAATCATATCTTAAAATTAAATATTTGATAACACAAAACCAATACATAACATCAAAATTATGACATAAAATTAGATAACTTATACATATTTTCATACATCAGCGTTGAGGTGAATATTTTTGTAGTTATTTAAAAAAAAAATTGTTTTCTGATTTTTTTAAATTTTTTTACAAAAGAATCAAAAATCCTGTCATGATGTCAATCCTGTTTAACTTATAGATTAATGCAATGATAATAATTAAATTATTAATTTTTAAATTAACATTTTATAGTGCTATTATCGATGTAGATAATTTTTAAAATTACCTACATTGGTAATAGCACCTTAAACATTGAAACAAAAACTTTAAATTTTAGTCAAAAGTTAAAAAAGTTAAAAAAATTAAAAAAAAAAGATTTTAAAAATAAATTAAGATTTCATAAATAAATCCAACAAGGTCTATAAACTTATTTGTGCGAATATTATTATATTTGCTACATTAGATAAACAAGCTAAAACTTTTCTCAATGTATTAGTCATCATCGCAAGGATGATAAACAATCAAACATTTTTTTAAATTTAAAAAACAACATCATGTGTTTAGGAAAATTTCGATTTTAGCCTAGAGATTATTGAATTATATCTGATTTGTTTATTTTATATTTTTTGCAGTTTTATTCTAGATAATTGTATTTATGAGAAGAAAAAAAATTGTGTTCATTTAAAAATGGACTTTTAAAAATTATTTTCATGTATTTATGACACTAAACTGATACTATAAGTAACTATCCGGAACGAGTTTAAAATATCTTAAACTTTTTAAAATATTTTAACGCATTTTTTTTTTTTACTGAATCATCTTCTATAGCTCCTTTTCATTGTACACGATCTAATTAAGACTTTTCATCGTACACAATCTAATCAAGAATTGTCATATACGTTCTTATCAAGACTTTTCATTGCACACGATCTAATTGGGACTATTTATCATAAACAATCTAATTGAGACTTTTTATCATCTAATCAAGGCTTTTCATTGTGCATGATCTAATCAAGACTTTCTGTTGTACACGATCTAATCGAGACTTCACCCCTCTAACAAGCTCTTGTGCGCGTTCCATAACTTAAGCAAAAATTTAGCTAAACATTTTTTTATTTTTCTTCTGAGTTGATTAGTATCTGAGTTGATTAGTATCTTAAGCACACCAGTTATTATCATACAATTTTCCAATTCAATTGAGACCAGAAATCCTCAATAGGTCTACACTCTAGGAGATTTGCAGGGTTTTATTCTCTAGGTACCACTGGAACTTTGTTATAACTAAAGAAGCTATCACTGTTTTTGCACAATGTGCACTAGCTAACTCTTGCCAAAATATGTAATCAAATGTTACTGTTTCAAAAATGGTATCAGTCTAGCTACTAAATATTCTTATTTAATACATACTGGTTAATAGCAAAGCTACTTTCTCTAACCAATGATTTAGCAAATCCTCTACACCAGTGTGTAAAATAACGGCCGGTCAATGGTTAATCACCGCCCAAAATAAGTAAAATTGCTATTTTGACCTCCCAAAATGAACTCTTGCCGGTCATGGTTGACCGGTTAAAAAATAATCAGAGTTTTGAAAAACAAGATTTGAAAAATAATTAGATTATTATTTGGAAAAAGCATGTACTAAATTATCATATAATCATTAAAATTTTGCAAAAGTGCTCAAATTAGGCTTATTGTTTACAATAAGTTACTTAAATTCCTTTTGCTAACAAATAAAACATAAGACGTGACATCTAATAATTCTTTTCTTCACTTATTTAAATTACTTTAATTTTATTGGTGGTGAAAATCATTTTTTCATAAATGATTGAAGTTCTTATTTTATTTAATTTAATAAAGTATATAATAATAATTGTATGTAATATATTATTTTAATAATAATATAATAATGTATAATAACTGCATTAATCTCAAAAAAATTTGTCTTTTAACTTTTTATTTGTTTACTCATAAGTGTTTGCCGCAAACTGAATGATTCAAATTTTAAACTATGCAATAGAGTGTTGGGATCAAAAAGGAACTTAATAGATCAAGGAATTAATTTCAATGTTAATTTTGAGTACAAAATCTTTGCGCAAATTAATAAAATTATTATTAGCTAATTTTATATTTCTATTTAAATTAACATTAGCAGTTTTTAAAATGATTTTAATGAGCAAAATGTGCAATCATTTTTTTTCTTAAACGTTGTTAACTTTAAATATTAAAGTCCTTAATTATTATATGAAATATGTATGTAACTAAGAACATTTTCTCTTCTAAAGTAATTTTTTTATTCATTCAATCTTTTCATTTATTTTCTTGTAGCTTTTCCCGCCATTAGTTACGAATAAAAACCAATTTTTAAATAAATTTAAAATTACTGTTATGTGTTTGCACTTTTTTATTTCTATTAATAGTGGCGTTGGTAAGTGACATCACTAATTTAATGAATCGGATGTTATCCAATTTATCAAATTTCTTTTAAAAAAATTTATCAATTTATCAAACTTTTTTTAAGAAATAAAAAAAAATTCTGCACGCCTAATTTTAAACTATTAACATTGGCGTGTAATTTTAATGTTAGTTATTTGCAAGTTTAAAAAAGGAATACTAATTCGTTAATTATCAAATATTAAGTTATTTTTGTATTTATAAAGTTCAGTCATGACGAACTATTACGAAGATTAAAATAAAAAAAAATAAAAAAATAAAAATGTAGACCGTCTATAAAAAATAGTTGATCGTCAATTTCAAGACTTAGCCGGTCAAATTGACCGCTCGCCTTCGATTTCTTATTTTACATGCTGCTCTACACAAAAATGCTATCCGAATTAGTACTTTAGCTTCAGTTTATGTATACTAGGAGGAGCATTTGTTTTATCATCAGTATAATAGAATCCATTTTCATTAATAATTAATAAATGTGAGCGTGTGAAATAAGTAAACATTCATCATCCAAAGCCTAATCACAATCTTTGTAATTCATATAAAGGAAACAATATTTGCTTCTCGCTTTCACAATCTGAACAAACTTCTATCTTGTATTTTATGTTTTTGATTTAGAACCATTGAAACATAGAGTTGACTACAATTGAATTTTAAAGCTAACTTTTTTGTGATAAATCACTTACATTGTTTGTCAATTGTCTTAATCGATTTAAAACTTGTTTATCAAAAAAACAGCCGGTTTGCTTGTTCCTGGTTGTTGATTTGCATTAATTTCATCTTCATATATATCATAACTGATTGATTTTCTTGCTCCTTCAGCTGCAAAATGATAAAATGTGTACTATTCTTCAAATAATTTTTAGAAAACTTGTACACATATTTTCACGAGAGCTTTTTTTCAGACTATAATTGGTTTATAATTGAAACTTATGAAATAATTTAGAAAAAATAAACATGATTTTTGTAGAGCGTTAAATCTAGTTTATTAATTAAAAACCACATAATCGTCCATGTGCAACAAATGAACTAATTATTTTAAAACAAAGTCATTTTGGATAATTACTTGTCAGCCGTTATTGTGATAGGTAGACTCTTAAGTTGAAAGGGCAGAACCAAAAAGGGCATGTGGTTGTAATAAAATGCTTAATCTTTTCTACTAATGTCATATTAAAAAAAAATCTTATTATGGAAACTTGTCAAAACCACTTAATCTAAATTCATGGATATTAAAAATATGCACACACAAACACATATATTTATACATAAAATGTATACAAAAGTTTGTATACCTATATAGATTTATCTATCTATTATAGATATATCTATATCAATATATACATATATATACATATATACATATATATACATATATATTAATATATATATATATATATATATATATATATATATATATATATATATATATATATATATATATATATATATATATATATATATATATATATATATATATATATATATATATATATCAGGCTTGGTTGGGAAGCGAGAGTGATCCCTCTTGATTGCTGACCAGAGAAATAATATTTAGTTGCAAAAGGCTAGCCAGATTTTTTAGTCGTTTTGAGAACAATTCAAAAAGCAAAAGAAATGCGCTAAAGATTAATTGGACCTATGAGAGACAATTACAAAAAAAAAAAAAAAAAGGAAAATAAAATATCTTTCAACTCAAAAAAACTTAAAGCAAAATGAACTATGTTTAGAACAAATATTTTTGAAACATCGCTCTTTTATAATTTTTTTATAAAATTAAGTGACGTTTTTTATATGAAGTAACATCTTACGATTGTTTAAAAAGGAAACAAATGTTATTTATTTAACAAAGAGTGTAGAACAATTTTTATTTATATACTCAGTCTTATTTCCAGTTCTAGATAAAGGAGGGCTGAGTTTAGAGGGGGCTATAGCCCTGGGCCTTGCAATGACAAAAAAAGTCAAGAAGACCTTTTTATTTAGTCATTATTACACTGTGACACATACAAAGACATCGAAAATAAAAATAGCCCCCGGCCCTGAAAAGTCTAACAAGATTCTAATAAAACTAATGTAAGTTTTAGTTTCATCTAAGCTAAACTATTTTATAAATAAAAAAGTTAATTTTTCAATACCTATTTTATGCTTCGCCTAGTTTGAAAAGTTTAACATATTTGAAATAATTCTTCTTAGTAAGATGAACAAATGAAATAATTAAATCATTGAATTACTATAGAAATTAAATTAACTAGATAGAAATCAACTAAAAAGGTTAAAAATACTTTATGACAAGGAAGCGAAACTACTTCACAAAATCGCTAATGATGTTTAGTGAGTGGGCTTTTAATTTTAATTAGTATTTAAAGCAGAAAAAAGTATAACGAGTTTTTTAGAATGGCAACTGAAGCAAATATAATTAGAGTTAGTAAACCAATATCTAGAAACTTTTCATTATATCTAATAACTTGCTATATATATTTGTGTTTTGTCGTGACCTCAGATGCAGTGCTTGTTCATCCGTGAGTTACTTTGTATAAATTGTTTGTGTTTAGTAACTAGAAACGTCTTATACGTTTGTTACATATTTAGTTTCATTAACTTTAATGATTATTAATAACTTCATTAAAAACGCAATTATTTTTGTAAGTCTTTGTTTTTTGTTTTGTTTTTTATTTTACTTCACCTCCTCAAGGCTGAGAAGGCCACTACAGACGAGGAGGCTACTTATTTTGTGGCTATAACCCTCTCTCAACTCTATAACTCCAAAACATGAACCTTGACGAACAAGGCCGCTGCGCGGAGAAATGAGTTGAGCGCGGTACTACCAGGGACGTGGTGGGGATCGAACTCGGAACCACTCGTTTATGAAGCGAGCGCTCTACCACTACACCACTACCGCATGTTTACAAATTAAATCATAAAAATTGCTTTAAAAGATTACATTACAATAAAAAACAGATACACAAAATTACATTTATATAAAAAATACATACTTTTTAAATAAAAAATGAGAATATAGTAATAAAATTTATAATTTATAATAAACTTTGACAATTTAAAAAATATATATTATATAAAACATTTATTTTTGTAAAAAAATAATAGTTTAATAGATTTACGGCTTTGCTCCAAGAATGAGCAAGTATTGATAATATATTCTTAAAACAACTTATGCTAGAAACCTCAAAACGTAAAAAATTGTGAACAATACAACTTCAAAAACATTTCAACAGAATACTCTAGAACTTTATTTCGCTTAGTCAGCATATTTTTAACCAAGATGTTTTGAGAAGATTCAAGTTTATTTTGTTTCCATGTATGTCCGTAAAACAAAAATTTTTTGTTATGTACATAAACTTAAAATGTTCTCAAAACAACTAAAAAACCTGGCCAGTTTGCAACTAAATATTACTTTCGTGGTCAGTATTCGAGAGCGATTGCTCCCGCTTCTCGACCAAGCCTGATATATATATATATATATATATATATATATATATATATATATATATATATATATATATATATATATATATATATATATGGATAAATAGATGGATAAAGATATATTATGTATACATATACATGTAAAAAAATCAATTTTATAATAAATAAGTTAAAAAAAAAACGCTTACATGTATTTCTTTCATAAGATAAATCTGCAATTAGTGATGATAAAATACAGCAAAACGATGGAAAGCTGCCTTCATTGACATTAACTATCAGTTTGCTCAAATTTTCTAGAAGCAAAAATTTAGTACTCAATAAAGGTTAACCGTATATTTATAATAACTTTATAATTCATCTTTTATAAACTTCTAGTTTATTCTTTCACTGTACATTGCAAAAGAAAAATTCTTATTTTTTAATCATATACACACAGATACACTCAAAAGTTTGTATATGTGTGTATATATATATATATATATATATATATATATATATATATATATATATATATATATATATATATATGCATATATAAATGCATATAAAACAAAAGGCAGATTATTTGATGCCACAATGAATAATTTTGACTTGTATCGTGGCGACAGGTTTGATATTTTTGAAAACAAAAGCGGCCAACACATGGAAAAAATCAAAAACCATTTTACGAATATTTTAAAATGTAACAACCATCTTATCTCTATCCAATGTAATGTTAAATGTAATATTAATCCAATATAATATTAAAATCAAATGTAATATTAAAATTGTCAATTATCTTGATGTAACATTAAACCTGATAAACAGTTCTTATCAACCATATTGTAAACCTAATAACCAACTTATGTATGTTCATTCTGACTCAAACCATCCACCTAATATTATAAAAAATTCCTCGCACTATTGAGTTAAGATTATTGGCTATGACAGTAAATGAAACTGTGTTTAATAATTCCATTCTTCCATATAAAGAGACTTGACGTAAATTAAAACCCACTTACCATTCGCAAATAAACAGAAATAAAAAAAAAATTGCAAATGTAAAATTATATGGTACAACCTCTTGATTAGCTTTAATTGACTTACATTTACACAGGGTTCACAAAGTTTTTAAACGAAACCATATTAAAGTTAGCTTGAAATCAAAACTATATTAAAGTACTAAAGTATGTCTAAGATAATTTAATAGTCTTTAATTATGTACAATTATGTACATGTCAAATCTTTAATAAATATACATAACAACAAGATTTTACAGCATGATGAAAATATCAATCAAAACATCAAAACAATACAACTAAATAGACAAAAAAACTTGCCCATTAAAATAACCAACGCCATTCTAACAATATTGTTAACCAAGCCACTGTAAGTTCTGGAGATTTCTTGAATTTAAAGATAATGTTTATTTAGGTATAAGTAAAACTGCATTTAAATTAAGATATGCCAACCATCTTAAATCTTCCAATGCACCCAAATATAAAAATGACACTGAACTTTCTAAAGATTTCTATGGAAACAAAAATCTAAAAATATAAAACCTGATGATTACATGGAAGATAATAGCATGATTTAAGCCTTAAAATCAAGCATCAAAAGTTTGTAATTTTTGTTTCTGCAAGAAATATCATATATTGTCATACAGAGAAGTAAATTTATTTAATAAAAGATATAAAATAATACCAAAGTGCTGGCAATCAAAGAAATTTTAACTTTACTTATTTTAAATAAAAACTGATATCAAGGGAGTATTCGATGCTGACAGGAAAAAAATCACAGAGAAAAAAGATTCCACTCATTTTTTTAACCAACAACTCCATAAAACCTTAACTCAGACCCATAACTGAACATTAATGCCAGATTTCAAACCAAAAACTCAAACTATATCTTATGTTGACAGTAAAACTATTTAGTAGTACTCGAGTAGCCACTCTACTGTACAACTTAGACAAATCGAAACTGCCTGGAGTAGACCAGTTACATCCTTTTGATCTTTCAAAATGCTATAAGAACATGAGTTTTCCATTATCTTATTTATCAAATCTTTTAAAACAGGTATTGTTCCCTCGCTATGGAAAGATGCAAATATCTCACCCATCTTCAAGAAAGAATGTAAACTTGAACCAATAAATTACCGTCCAATCTTGTTGACTTCAATTGCAAGTAAGATCATGGAGAGATTAGTGAGAGAATACATGACAAAGAACCTTACTAAACTCAAACTACTATCTATTCACCAGCATGGATTTGTTAGCGGTAAATCTTGTGCCACAAACCTCTTAGAGGTGCTAGATATAATTACAGAGGCACTAAACCATAATTTTATGGCTGTCCTAATCTTAATAGACTTTTTTAAAGCTTTTGACAGAGTAAGCCACGAATTACTGAATACAAAACTTAATGGCTATGGTTTTGATGTAAAATTAATTTCTTCCATTTCTGATTTTTTTAAAAATAGACAACAGCGAGTAGTCTTGGGTGGTGTGTATTCTGACTGGGCAAATGTAATGAGTGGGGTACCAAAAGGATCGGTTATTGGTCCACTACTGTTTTTGATATATACAAATGACATGCCAGAAATAGTAGAGAACTTTTGTAAGCTTCTTCCAGATGATAGCCAGCTCGTTGCTACGATCAAAAACAATATGGATATCATACCAGTTC